TAAAGGTACACAAGGACACACCCGCACTGCCAAATGGCAGCCTGACTGCCTAAGTGAATAACAGCAGGTGTTATGTGGTGATAAATAGAGCAACATTTGGCTGGCAGAATGCGTCACTTGCACTGGCAGGGGTATGTGTGCACATCTAAATCAAAACATCCGCAGTCTACAAATGTCAAAATTTAAATGCGTAGGACGGTACCAAACAGACACATACGTCCTTGACGCCATTTGCAAGGGCCGAGTAGCAGCGATCTCGCCCGACTGGGTAACAGGACGGTCAGACAGCTCCTGTCGGCCTTTACTTGGCCTAAACCTGGCTGGCTATGCGCGGGCGCGCGACCTCCGATAGCTGGGGCGAATCTTAAAGCGGTTCAAAACACATCACTACAGCCCTTTTAGCTCATGATGGCACGCTTCAGGCAGTCGGCCACGTGGATACACAGCTTGCTACAACCCACGCCCGGTACTTGTAATTAGCACGAACTCTGAGCTAGCTCGGCTGTTGTCCCTAAGGTCCAGTACTTAAGAACCATAGAAGTCAATCGGCCACGCGGGAAGTGTATTAACACAAAACAAGTCGGAGAAAGTCACTGCGAGTCACTCTCACAAAAGGCTGCGGGGTATTTATTCAGTCAGCTTGATGAGGGAGCGTTGGCGACAATTGGACCAATCAGCTATGACGAAAAATCGATAGCTGGGGCGCGTGCCGCGGCGTGACAACTGCGCTCCGACGCCTTTCTGTGTTGTGACTCATCGTGGGAAAAGGGGATGGACCGCACCCTAAAGTCAGATTTTGTAGCTCAATCGAAATTGCACGGCTGATCGTCATCATCGTACTACTGCCCTACTACACCGTCCCCTGGTGATGCAACAGACACCAGAAGCGATCTTGACCTAACTGTGGCGTACCTGTGAAAACCGCTGATACCAACAGCCGCTATTATGAGGTATAAATTTCTGAGGAAGGTATTTTGCCGGTCTCGCCAACAGCAAAGTCCGCCTCCGGACAGCAGTTCGAGATTCTGTACAGGACAAAGTCCACACCGAGGCCGCGAATTTTTCACAATTGAGTCAGTTGAATTATTCAAATCTGCTAAACCCTCCTAGCAATTAAGTGAGCCTAGTAGTCATTCTGATTGATTCTGGATGATTGCTTAGGAAATCCGTAGGAGCGGTGATAAAATTCACGGCCTGTTAACTCGATGGTTGAGCCTTGGCTGCGCAATAGCCTTCCCTGTTGTGTGGGTTTGACCCCCCACCGAGGCCGCGAGCTTTTCAAAATTCGGTCAACCGAAACTCCACATTCTCGTGTATTCCGTATTGATATACTGTATGGTAATTTTGGCGCTTACAGTTATACGTATTACCTGAACAGCCATAACTGTGCCTTGAAACTTTGCAGAAAAATTCAAACCAGCCAATTCCTGCTAGATCACATCATGATAAATGTAAAGTAGCCACCGCTTAATCTGATTATATGTCGGAACGGAACTGCTATCAGTTTGGCTACCAAGATTGAGATTACGAGGTATCATTATGACCTGCCATCAGCTCCTTTAACAACACGTAAAAAGGGAGACATTTTCTTGTTTAGGACTTTGACCACGAGTAAGAAATCGGCATGATTGAGGAACTCTATGAGGGAACACAACCGCCCTCGAGCTTACTGGTAATTGTACTTGATACGGCTGTGATTATGCTTGATTGAGCCGTCGCGTACTGTACCTCTCCACGTGTGACGAGTTGCGGCAGCTAATCTGGAAAGATTAATCCATCGTCTTTTCCAGCGACGGAAACCGAACGCCAAAGGTCTAAGAACCGCGTCGAATCGGGTCTTGGGTTGACCTTCTCCTTGACGCCTCCATGTGGGCAGTATAACCGACGTCATGAGGGGGACGAAAAAGAAGGTGTCCAAACAATCTCGGTCGTCTTTCTTGAATGGCCTGGAATATTCTTGCGATCTGGTCGCAACAAAGGCGGACTGTCTGTGTACGCCACTTTAAGGATAGTCCTCAGGCGACCTTCAGTCATCGCTCATTTTTCGCGCGCAAAGTATTCACAACTGTAGGAAAGGACATACCAGATGAATACGAGGTATACGCGGATCTTCGTGATGATGAATCCATATACGCTTTCACGGGATTTCTAAAACTGGGCGAGAAGTATCGATTCCGGCCACGTCGTTCTTACTCTGTCTATTAGACAGCAATCTCATCCGGGATTATTTGAAATTGTCTACGTTTGCAAGCTAACGGCCATTCATCTCCAAAAGGGAGGCATTTTCCTGGTCAGAGATGCACATTGAAAGCCATTTGGCTTGGAGGGTATCATCTTTCGAGCAAGGGACTCTTGATGGCATAGATAACGATCGTAAGATGTAACGCAGGGGACTTTGACACCAGCTAAACCGGTGACAAATTTAAGCGCGGGAACCGACAAACACATTGATGAGTGCAGCGGGGAGCTAAGTGAAAACGACATTGGGAAATTCACCCTTAGGGAACACCAGTGTTTTTGTCGGTATAGCAAATCCGACGCGTTGGAATTTATAATAACCCCCTAAATGTCGTGAATTAGGACTGTCAACTGACAAGATAACGCAGCCCTCCGGACCAAAACTATATGGCCTCTATGGCACTTAGGCATGAGATATCAGAGCTGTCTCCCAAGGATGCCTGAAGGGAACCCAAGGCAGACATCGTCGTTTGCGATGGCCACATCGTAACAG